GCGCGAGGAAAAAGAGCGCGCGAAGCGGGAGCGTGAGGAGGAGAGGCGCATCAAGAAGATGCTCGAGGCCGAGGAGAAGGAGCAGCGGCTGCGCGAGGCCGAGATCGCCAAAGAAACCGAGCGGCTGCGAAGGAAGTATGGCACCGAGGGCCAGGAACTGCCGTCAGCCGTGCCACCGCCACCCGGCCCGCCCAGTGCATCGCGGCCTGTCCCTCCACCGCCGCCGCCCACGGCCTCTTCGTACAACAACGGCTACTACTACCCGCCGCCTCAGCAGCACTACCTACAGCACCCAGCACTTCCCCCGCGGCCGGTAAGTGCAGGGCCACCCAGCGCTTCGAATTCGAGTTCGCGGTGGCAAAGGCCCCGACCAGGAGGCGGCGCTACTAACAGCGGCTACCACCATGCCAGTAGCGATAACCACATCGGCACCGGCAACAGCAGCGGAAATGGCCGCAGAAAGTCCAGTGCATTCTTGAGCAACCCGGCGGCCAGTGTCAGCGGGTTCTTTTCGTCGTCCTCGTCCGCCAACCCGAACCGGTCTTCGTCGGCTGCGCCGGGTGACGAACGCAGCCGTATTCAGAAGAAGAGGAGTGTGCATTTCTAAGCGTCATCATTCATCGTCTCTACCCAAAGGCAGCTTTTTCCGCCAACAAATGGGAAGGAATTTTTCAACTCTTTTGGATCCAGATCTTTGTTTTCATTTCGCATGCCTCACATCTGTCGGTCGCAATTTATACCCCATTGGAATGGTAAATTCTGTTTTCAACACATGTATTGTTTCTAACTTTTGCAGCACAGCATAGCCAGTCTATTAGTTGTTTTTCTCACATTGCGCTTTCAAATATAGCCACACCGAATAAGTTTCAAACTACAAGGACATATATCAAAGACTGAGATGAATTAAGGGCTTATATATAAGGGCGGTGCAGTAGATACACGCGTATGTAGATGCGAAGCAATATACCGGGGAAAACGCCTGCCCTCCAAAGTAGTAATATATATAGGACAAATCAAAGCCAGAAACACAAAAGGGTTCGTCAGCCTCGGTCCTTGCCTTGTCATGATGCAGTCGCAAGGGCAGCCGCTTTTTCTTCCTTCTCCAAAGGGCCAAAAGTACAAAATGCTCAATGCTTTGGTGGTTGTCCCACACAGCGAACAAACACGATCCCGCCCTTCTCTCTGTCGGTCCTTTGGTGCAGCCTTCTCGGTTTCTCAGAATGTGCGTTGACGAACACACGTATGGACGCACGGTTGTCTTTATGACTGTCAGGCGATGAATGCTTAACCTGCCCATAGAGCAAGAATCGTAGCATCGTGTTGTTCTACCGCGCTTCGCGCTCGGTAGGGGAATGGCGCCGGAAGTGCTTGCTTTCGACAACTGTCCTTGGGCTTGCGCCAAGAGGAGTGCACTTCAAGTTTCAACTGTCATCATCTCATTCCTTCCACACAGAGTCCTACATTGTTCATATGATACCCCCCGGCGGGTCATAGGCAGTTGACGTCCCCCGAGCCGCTGCATTCAGGCCTGCACTGCCCGGCACATCTGTTGGTCCATCCGCTGGCGCATTTGCCGTCTTCCGAAGCATGAACATTGGCTTCTTGCCTTCTTTATCCAGCTGTTTGAAGAGGATGAGCGGCTTCTCGTTCAAGGCTAGGCACCGCTCTTGGTCACCATACACAATATACAGCGCGTACTGGTCGGGAGGTGCGTTGATCTGATAGCGTCGTAGGGCAGCCGGCAGGACCTTGTAGCAAGGGTCATCCATGCTCACGCGGAATGACTTGAAAATCTCCACGGATGCATTGCTGCCAGGCGTGTCGGGAGCAGGAGTCTGCATCCGCCGTGGTGCGCCGGTGTGCTTGTCACGAGATGAGGAGTTGTAGGCGTGGTCGCTCTCGGCAAAGGTCGAACGACCGGATGGAGTAGGTTGGTCGGAGCGGTAGGAGCGGGAGGCGAGCGTGGTTCCGTTCATGGAGATGGGCGGAGATGTTGGAGATGGTATATTGGGCGAGGGGTATGATGGTGAGGAGGCGGTCTGGCCGTTGCCATTTGCCGCGGCCAGGTGTTGTGAGGAGAGCACGGCACGTTCGGCGGCATTGGCAGGATCGAGGGTTTGCTCGGCGATCATCCGATCGTGCGAGATTTGGAGGTGTGTGGGAGATGTGGTTTTCGGTGTCGTCCCTGTCGGGACCATTTTCCGGGTCGAATACTGGCGCTTGATGTTGATGGACTGTGTGCCGGATTGAGGCGTTGGTACAGGAGGAGAAATGATGGCTTCAAAGGGATAGGACTGATCGTTGTTGGCGGTGGTGGTGCTGCTGCCATTGCTGTTCACATGCGGTAGCGGTTGTTGGGCATCTTTGACGAGACGCAGAGCCGGCAGGACATCTTCGCGCAAACGGCGGAAGTCATCGGTTAGACGTCGGTAGTCCTGCTCGAATAGGCTCATGCGCTCGTCTCGTAAGCGCAGCTGCTCGACGAGGTGCTTGATGTCCTTCAGTGTGGCCATGGTGGCTTGCGCTTCAGTTTCGGCGGCTAACGGTGGGTAGCATGTTAGAATAAACACTCGACGAATAGTGAATGAGGCTTGGTTGAGGTTTGGGAACGCGGGCCAAAATACATACTTAGAGGGACATAGTGGTCGCTCTCTATCGGGACCTCCTGAGCCTTCTTGACTTCGTAGACACTCTTGAGGATTGTCAAGCGGTGGCCGACACTGTTGATGCCCATTTGCTTCAGATCGTCGTGTAGTAGGGCAACAAGCGCCTCGCCAACGATCTCGTTCTCTGGTCCATGGGGTTAGCACAAGCCAACAACAACAGCGGCCGTCGAATGATGCAAGGTACAGGCCAAGTACGATGCAGGGGCTGCAGACGCTCCCCTATCGCCAAACGTACCGATGAACCCATCTGCATATTGTTGTAGACCAATCGTGGCTATAAAATCAGCACACTCCTCGGCGCTCCAGTCCGTGATGATCGTTTCGGGTAGCCGATCGGCGCTGCTGTGGTAGCCGTACGTGGTGGGCGTGTGTTCGGCGGATGGTATATCGGTCTCAGTGGGAGAAAGTTCGGATTCGGTGGCGTCGATCGGGGAGCTGTCGTGGATGTCGCGCTCGTACTCATCGTCGGCGTCGGATTCGGCGTACGCCGTGCCCTGCTGGAAGCTCATGATGGCGGCGAGAGAATTTGGTTGTTCGTCAAGGACAGGTGGAGGGAGGAAGGGAAGTAGCGAGGGTGATGGCAGGAACAAACGTGGGCCAAAGCTGCAATAAGAGAGAGCGTGGACGTCGCTTCGCAGAACGAATATTCCTTATACGTCCACGATGTGTTGGGCTTAGCTGGCGAGCATCATCCGTGGAAACGCTTTCCTGCCTCTTCTTTGTCGTCTTTGAACGTCTTCGCTTCCGTTCTTCTCAAACTCTCGTCGACTAGATGTGGACGAGATTGGAGATGGGAAGCGAAGAGCGCGGTGCGAAGTGGACTGGGTACCTCCTTTCGCTGGGTTGGAAGAATGGCTCGCGCTACTGGCAGGAGCTCATTTAGAGCAACGGTGGCAGTTTGGCAAGGGAGGGCCGGACGGGGACTAAACCAAGGACTGACAGGAGAGCGACTAAGAAGGCGTGCGATTTGCGATTTGAGATTCGCAAAATGCAAGAGTTGATTCTTCGTCCAAGGGAATACAGAGGTGTAAGGAAAGGGGGAAAACTCGGAAAATGCAACGACGCAGAAAAGAAGGAGAGGGTGTGCAAATAGGCGGCTGTGGAATGGAAAGGGAGCCAGAGAGCCAAGCGCCGACCAGCTCCAGCGAGAAGCGAAAGGCGAAAAATGACGAGGGAAGGATTTCTGGGGTGGGCAATTGGACAAATGGAACGTCGAGGCGGGCGGCTTCCGCACAGTGGACTTGGGCCCGTGTTCAGTGCTGTGGTGCACTTGGGCCAGAGAGATCGGGTCGATGGTCGATGATCGCTATTGTTGGTGTAGGACAGAGGTCGAAGGGGTGGTGGAGGAGGAGGAAAAGGGACAAGAGAGAGAGATCACGAAGATTATAATAGAAGGACAAAAAGACGCAAAGGGCAGCAATACCAGGAAGGCACGACAGTAGACGAAGAGGAAAGAACGACACTGCAACCCCGAAGATTCCAGAGGGAAGGAACGACAGCGCTGTTGCGCTTGTGCCGGGACGACGGGGCATTGACTCGAAGCGTCAAAGTGAGCAGGGCAGGAGCGTTCTGGATGGGCACATTAGTACAGCGCAGTGCCGCCGAGTGGGTAGAGTTTGGCAGGCGCGGCCCACTCAAGCAGAAGCAACAACTTAGACAAGCTCACAAGGGACTGGACACACCTAAAGCATAAGCCAGGGGGTGGTATATTTAGAGTCTAGCGCCCACAGCACATTGGTGCCCTGCGGCAGTAAGTGGGGACAAGAGGGGACGTGAGAGGGGCAGAAGGCAGGAGAAGGCAGGAGGAAAGGACGACGACGAGGGCAAGAGCGCTGCCTTGGGCATACATCAGGGCAAGAGCCAAGCCTTGCCGTACAGTTAGAGAAGGAGGGAATGACATCGTCGGGGGCAAGAAGGAAAGCACGCTTTCTGAGTGGTCCTGAGCCAAATTTGCCGATTAAGAAGCCCTCTCGCTTGTGCATCATTTGAAGCAACGGGAATCTGCCCTATTCGTGCAAGCACACCGACTCAGTCCTGTGGCACACTTAGACCGTCGTATGTGTTGTCCTATGCCTTGACTTTTGCTTGCCAGCATATATTGTCTGCTTGTGAGTTGGGAGCCTCTTCCTGCCCAAACGTTCACAGAGATGGCCAGGAGTGGGAGGAGCGATGGGCAAGCAAACCAAGACATCCCAAAACGCCACCTCCGGAGCTGCAGCCACTCACAACTGAGTAAGCAGGAGGGGGAAATCAGCAGCACACCACGAAGGGTGAAGTCAAAAGGCCAAGGACCATGCAGGTTGTGCAAGTCCAGAACAACAGCCATGCAAGAGAATGGATATGGCGTCCCAAAGCGTGCTAGACCGCTGGCAGGACAGCACCTGGATCGAGCAACGACAAGAGACAGGCCAGCCAGGTCCACCCGCATTCTGCCAACGCCGCAGCGTGCATCGTCCTGCAGCCCGCTGGTGTCTGCGCTCTCTGGATACAGGTACGTACCAGTATGGAGGAAATTGTCGACCTGACGGAGTACTTGCAGATACGGAAGAGGACATGGCTCTCGGCGAGCGGAGCCTACTACAGCCTTGTCTGTGGACACTATGTGCAGGAACGCTTTCACCAACCGGCGATATATCACTTCCCCAACTTCATGTCCCGACAGACGAGACGGAAAACGGACGATAGTCTCCTTGCAGTTTTATGGCGCACGTTTTACAGGCGCCTGGTCTACAACCTGTCCCAAACGACGCAACTCGATAAGTTGATCTTGGTTGAGGCTGGGATGATGAGCTCATCTGACTCGAGAACTACGGATGAGTTCTTTGCACAGACAACGTTTGTGATGGTGGGATGCATGATACAAACTGTGGACGTGCACTTTTGGTGTCTACGCAACCGACGCAGTCCTTTTCCTTTCCTTCTTGTGACATATTAGCCAATGGCTGGCTGAGTGTGCCTCGTCCAAACACTGGCACGGAGCAGTGCTTCGCTTCTTGCCCAACCCATCCATCCCAGGGCCGGCGGTTTTTGTAAGTGGTTGCATGGAGTGGGTTGGAGGCACTGGATAGAGGGGGAATCTTTACCAAAATAATAATAAAAAGAAAAAAATAAGAAGAAAAGAAGAGCAGCGAAAGAAAACGAGAGAAGGCATGTAAGGATCAAAGGAAACAGGGGTAAGGGGGTGTGAGAGGCCCCGACCGAGGCAAAGAGCGACATGGCTGCTTCCCGATGGTTTGAAACAGCTGCTCCGTTGGCCGCTCCCGAGATAGTTTCAGCTTTTTTCATTGTCGAGAAAGTAAGATGCTGCTGCGTGCGCTTTTTTTATTTCGTTTTTTCCGTTGCACTGTTCTCTTTTGCCCTTTTGTCAGCATGGCCTCGTTGTTTTGTATCCTTGCCATTCGTCTATAACTCAAGAGCCATTTGTGTTCGCCTTGTTCCTTATCTTTCGTGTTCGTTCATTCGCATCACCACTTGAAACTCGACCGACTGCTAATTTTGTTTTTATTTAATTTAATTATTTAATTTAATTTTATTAATTTTTTTTCTTTCAACATCTTCTATTCAGGACATTACTTTTTTCGTTCTGTTCTCACTTCAATTTCTGTATGAAGCATCATCTGGGCAGTAGACTTACGTGTCACGTAGATCGCCCTCTTCCTCAACCCGGCCCTCACCCTCGAAGTCGCTTCTGATTTTGGCTATTCCACTGCCTGGTTTGTGTGGGCTCCGCTTTGTCCATCCCAAACACGGCTCCTCTCTCGACACATAATACCCTCTTTTGCCTGGTCACTGCTCGCCGTAGATCATGCGGAGGATAAGTTGTCCTCTTGATGCTGGACGGAAATCCCCTTTCTTTTTCTATTCTCGGCGTGCCCCTTGTCGCCCTTTTTCGTTCCAGACTTGCATCTTGTATTCTTTGTCCCTATTTGTCGAAGAATCTCTTGTAGCCCAAGTTTTTCTATTTTCTTTTTTCTTCTAGAACATTTGTCAAGAGTAAATCCGCAGCCATGGCAAAGGTCTTGGCAGTGTCTGAATAGCGAGCATCATTGTTTCTATTTAATGGCCATTCTGATTATCATAACGCGGCCATCATAACAGGTATGGCGTCTGTGTCTGCGTACAGCAATATACAACCTGCAAGTGGTATGAAGATACACAGCATATCAAAAGAACACACGCAAGGCTTTGCTACAGGCCGCTAAAGGCCCCGCAAGTCCTTGTCCTTATCGACCAAACCGCGACAGCGTCTTGGTCGACTTGGCCTGCGCACCCTCCAACATCTTGGAAAAGTCGCGGAACAAAGAGTCGACCGTGCCGTTAGCTTCCCAGTCGTCCACAATGTTGTTAGCAAAGGCGCGCCGCTTCTTCGTCTTCATCTTCTTCTTGCGGCCCTCCAGCTGGTCCAGCAGATGGTCCGCCTGGAGCTTCTCTTCCACCCAGTCTTTGAGTGCCCGTCGCCAATGCAAAAGGTCGTGTGCCGTCTCGGCGTTGCTGTGACAGACGACGCCAACGTACCACTGTCGCGACGTGGGAGGAAGGCTGTTTCCATTCATATCAATTGACACGTGGTCAACATCTGGTTCGTCCTCCTCGTCGCTGTCTGCTTCTTCAATGTCGTCGAGCGTCTTGCTGTCGTAGGCCTTGCCGCTGAACATAACCCGGAAAGACGCCGGGTGGTTCGTTCGCCCGCACGCGTGGCACACGTTCTCGTCCATGCCGGGGATGACGATGCTGTCCTTTTTGCCTCCAGACGGCCGGATGTTGAAGCTGTCCATGTACGGCCGCGCACGCAGCGTGCCGTAAAACTCGGGCGTCCACACCGACGAGATGAACCGGGACTGCGCCAGCCCGCCGACCTCGCGGTCCAGCCGGCCCCATGCGACCTTGTACAGCTCGTCGTCCGACTCGGCAAACACGCCGCCAGGATTCACGCGCCGGTGCACCAGCCACTCAATGGCGTCTTTGAAATGGCTCTTGAGCGGCTTGTGTGCCTGGAAGGTAAACTGCAGCGGAATCTCCCGCCGCAGCATGGCCTGCTCGTCCTCGGCGTCGCTACCGTCCGGCGCACCGAGCAGGCCCGTGTGGCTGTCGTCGATGAAATCGGCCATGTCCTCGGCCTCTTCGTCGTCTTCGTTGGTCACCTCGCCGTCGCCCAGACGCAAATTGTCGTAGCCGTCGTCCGACTCTTCATCGTACTGGCTGCGGAGCCGCATGATGGCAGAGAACTGCTCCTGCTCCTGCTCGCGCTCTGCCTTCCTCCTCTTCTCCTCCTTCTTCTTCTTCTTCTTGTCCTTCTTCCACTTTCTCTTCACGTCCTTTTCCATCTGCTCGGCGGAGACAGGCTCTGCTTCGTCTACGTCGTCGGCTGCTTCTTTGTGCTCCTCCACTGCCTCCTCGTCGTCGTCCTCAAAATCCGACAGCGCAACGTGGTCCGGGTCTTTGTCGTAGAGCGCTTTCCGAGGCTGTTCTTCGTCCGAGAACGAGTCCTCCAGATCGCTTTCTGTGACTTTCTCGCCCAGCCGCCGTCGCCGTAGCAATTCCATATGGCGCTGCCGGGCTGATCGCGGGCCACTTTTCCGTGCCGAGCGCGAGACGCTAATTGTCGGCTGTTGCTGTTGTGCTGGTGTCGAACGAATCAGCCGTGACGGTGTTTGCTTTGGTGGCGGTGTGAGGATGACAAGGTCGTCGCTGCTGTCGTCACTGCCGGAAGACGGTTGGCGACCCCGGCGAAGTCGTTTTGCTGGCCGCACATCATCGTCATCGTCGTCGTCGTCGTCATCCGATATGGCTACCGGCTTGGACGTGGACCGTCTTGGCAGTTCATCGATCGTATCGTCAGAGTCACTGCCGTCCTCATCCTCCTCTTCGTCGTCGCCGTCCACAATTATACCACGGCGAGACTTGTTCGGCACGGGTGATGAGTTTGCCCCAGGTGGTGCTGTTCTTTTCCTTCCAGATCTTTGTATGGGAAGGTCGTCCTCGTCATCATCAGCACCGTCATGGTCATCACGGCTGTCGGATCTGTTGACCACTACGGCGTTCCAGGAAACAGGAGAAGAGCCAGAAGCTCTAAATTGCGCGGCTCTGCCTGGAGAGGTGCAAATATCAAAATGGTCAGCCCACTGACTCGCAAACCGGCCAAGTGCATGTGACAATCGGTGCGGTACATACCTAATACATCCTCAATCGTAATCTGCTTGCTCTTTTTCTTCGACCGGCCCATCTTTGTCGAGGAGACGAGATATCTGTTAGGCAGATAGGACGAAAGACAAGACGGTGTTTGGTTGTAAAGAATGAAGCTAAGAGGAGGTGGAGAAAAAGAAAGAATCAAGCGGGAATCCACCCTACCCGTGAATCGGGTCGGCCAGGCTGTCTCAGTTACAATAACGGAGAAGTGCGTATGTCGAGTAAAAACGCGTGAGTGAATGAGAAGAGTCGGCCTGGTGCCTTTCACTGATCAGCCAGTAGTCCACAAAACAATGGCGGTATATTATGCCAGAATCCAGAAAATGAACGTATTAACGGCAATATACAAAATGTTGGACAATGTGGCGAATGCCTCAACTCCAAGTGTGTCCATTCATGTTGAGAATTCAAAGAAGCCGCGTTCAATCAATCGTCATTAGAACTTCTCGCCGCGGAGTCACGTGACATAATTTACGGCGAATTCCAACTGATAGCACCTCGTACAACATCACTCTGAGTGCTCACCAATCACCACTGACAAACATCAATTATCGCATACCACAATACGATTGTTTCTATGGAAATGCTTGGTTTCGCGGTTAAGTATCTAAAAGCTTGGAACCCTTGTCCAGAGAATGCGCCCAGGACACCGATCTATTGCAAACGGCTCCCCCCGAAAATTATACACCATATTAAGATACAATAACACCCAGCCGGCCGTCATGTCCCCGGAGCAAAAGTGAATGAATAAGAAAAAGAATAGAAAAGTGGAGCGTACATCCAAGGGGGGAGGGCGATAATAATTAATGAATAGGAGGTCTTGGAAATCAAGTGAAGAAGAGGGAAGAAGAGGAAGGAAAAGACAGCTGATGAAAACCAGAGAGGCTGCACAGAGGAAGATGATCTACACAGTCCCATCCTTGAACGCCAGAAAGTATAGTAAGATCCCCGGTGTGGATGGTACTTCCACGGTTTTGACTATCGGCGTCTCACGAAGAGCGTGGTCAAATGCTTCAGCATTCTCTCCCTTCCCATTTGTCGCAATTGCATGTCGCTGATGATGCGTTGGTAATGCGATGGAAGGTTCTACCGTAGTCGCTTCTTGGCGTCCTCCTCGCCAGCAGCAATGACGTCCTCAATCTTCCACCGGGGCGCACGGATGACAGCCTTGGAACCTTCCCGCTTGATCATCTCCCGTTCCATCTCGGGGGTCACGCTAGCAGGGAGAGGCTCCAAGCCGCCGGCAATGCCCGTGGAGAACTTGAGCTGCAAAATGTCACCGACCTCGTCGCAGGCAATCAACAGGCGGTCCATGTCTTCCTTGGTGTGAGACGAGGAAATACAGAAGCGAGCACGAGAGCTGATAAGCGGCGTGGCAGGGTAACCGACGATAACGACAGAGATTTTCCGCTTCAGCATTTCTCGACTGAAGGAAGACATCTTGCCGGGGCTGTAGAGGACAACAGGTATAATGGGCGAATCATCGTGGCCGTAGACAATGAAGCCGAGGCGCTTGAGTCCGAGGCGAAGGTAGCGGGAGTTGAAGGCGATACGCTGCAGCCGCTCTTCACCTTGGCCAGGGACGAGCTCGCCGGCAATGATCTTCAGAGACGACAGGATCTGTACCAGAACAGCAGGCGAAGGAGCCTCGCCGAAGTGTGTCGCAGCATTCGTGGCCTTGAGCTTCTCGATGATGTGCTTCTCACCGGAGACGTAACCACCGTTCGCACCAAAGGACTTTGTGAAAGTACCCATGAGGATGTCCACCTCAGAGGTGTCCACCTTGAAGTAGTCGCAGACACCGCGGCCGTTGCGGCCGACGGCACCAATGCTGTGAGCCTCATCAACAAATAAGAAGAACTTGTACTTGCGTTTCAGGGCAAGAACATTGGGCAGGTCCACCATGGTGCCCTCCATCGAGTACAAACCCTCGACGGCAACGAGAATTTTCTTCCACGGGCGGTGCGTGCGGGGCTGGCCTTGGGAGATGGCATCACGGAGGTGGCGTTCCAGGTCTTCCATGTCATTGTGCTTGAAGGAGCGGATGACGGCACCAGACACGCGGGCACCAATGCGGATAGAAGCGTGGTTCAGCTCGTCGGACAGGATCAGGCAGCCCTTGGACACAAGAGCAGGGAACGAGCTCGCGTTGGTCACAAAGCCCATGGAGAACACCATGGCAGCAGGCTTGCCGACAAACTTGGCAATTTCGCGCTCAACCTCCAGGGCCAAGTCGTTCGTGCCAGAATCAGCGCGGGAGCTACCGGCGGTGACACCGTACTTGCGCACAGCCTCTTCCGCAGCATCGGCACAGGGGCCCTCGGACTGGGCAAAGCCCAGGTAGTTGTATGAGCTGACATTCAGAGTCTCGGTGAAGGTGCCAGTAAACTGGTAGGTGTCGTTGTAGTCGTCCGACTTGCGGTCGAGGAGGGTAATGTAGCGGCCAGGGACACCAGTGGTGGGCCGAGCGAAGCAGTCGTCAAGACGCTTCTTGAGACGACGAACGTAAAAGTTGTCAAAGTCATCATTGAGCGGCGCATAGCCATTCTTAAGGCGAACGGTGGCGTTCACATTGGTCTTCTTGAAGTGGCGGCCAAAGAAATCGCGTGTATGGCCAAGTCCTATCAGGAGCAGATAACTAATGTACGTGGCCAAAAAGTAGTAGTATGGTGGCTCGTCGACGACGGGCGGGTCCAACGGACCGCCTGGGTGCTGGCTGACGTAGAGGTGGTTGCGGCTGAGAAGAGGGCCGAACTGCGCATCTTTGCGGCGCTGCAGCTCGGTCTCGGCATCTGATGGCGGCTCGAAAAGAGTGGTCGCCTCGTCGGAGACAGCCTCGCCGGCAGTCGCAGTCGAGAGCGAAATCTTAGGAAGGGAGAGGGTAGAGGCAGAGATGCCACCAGCGGCCGGAGACTGTTGCATGGCGAGGAGTGACTGCTGGGCGGTCATGTTCGTCTGGTCCCGGGACTTGGGGGAGGAGGAAAAGAACTGGGACAGGCGGCTGCCGCCTTTAGACTGTGATGATCTTCGCTCAGTCACCCTTTCCAACGGCGACATGCTGGAGTAACTCGAGAAAGGATTTGCAAGCTTGCGCGGCATCGCTAGGATGGGCAAGGCAGCAGCTGATGCAGCAAAACGGTGTCAGTATTCAGGAGTTTTTCTTGACTTTTGGGACGGATGCTCGAATAGGGCAGAGGGACAAGACAGCCAAAGTGGCCGATGCGGGAGGAAAAAGCAGGAAACAAATAATTCAGAGGTAGTAGAAAGTACGGCGAAGTAAGACGAAAGGGTGAACAGTGACGATGCAGGAAACCCAAGAAACGTGAGGTATGAAAGGTCCGGATTCCCGGGAGACAGGTGCAGTGAAAGGGAGAGACGATGGAAGTGACGGAGAGACACGAGGCCGCTTGCCGTATGAAAACGGACTGTAGGAGCGTTGGACAAGGTTGCCAAGGCGTGTGGATATACCCTGAAGCCAGTGGTAAGAAAAAGGGGCTGGGCAGTTGATGTCTTATTTTTTGGTAATAAAACGCGACGAGGGAAGGAGGGAAAGGGGAAAGGATCGATTTGGGGTCAAAGCTTGAGACGACAGGCGCGAACCACATTGCCCAATTCCGCCCCCCTGCTCAATCAGGCAATTGGGCAATGGGCCAAACGACAAACTAGGATGATAAGGCGTAGCGAAAGGGAGCTCCTGCTATTTCTTGGAAAACGAGGAGCAGTCCCAGCAGCTCAATTGTCTCGCTGCGGCTTCCATGTGTATCGTGCCTTCCTGCTCTCTTTGGATTTTGAAGTTGTTTTCGCGGTTGTGTTTGGATGCGTTATGTAGTCGAGGGAAGGAGCGATGCGAGACACGATGCACCGCCCTGCTGGGCGTAACGGCTGCGAAAATCAGAGACAAAACTTACGCAACAGTCCGTGGCTGGCGACTGAGACTCGCGTGCCCAACAGCCAACAACGACAAAATTGAAGGACAAGTGGAAGGTTGGCCGAGAACGAACGAGGCGAGTTCGACGAGACGAGGAAGTCGACCTCTGGGTTTTCTCTGCTTCCTCCTTGGAGATGGTTCGACGACTTTTGCCAAAAAGGAATGCGCAGGGGGGGGGTCGTCGGTCGTTTCGCGTCGCAGTTTCCTTCTCTATCACTTCCCACAATGCTCAATTCGACAATTGGCGAGCAAGGAAAGGAAGGAAGGAACAAACGGGACGAAGAATCGCAAAAGGTAAACCAGGAAAGGACGAATGTCGAGAAGGGAGACGAAAAGAAAAATAGAAAGCAGAAGAGGAGAGGATACCAACACAACGAGGACGAAAGTAGAGGCGAGATTTGCAAGGGAGGCCAGAATAGGAGAAAGAGCGCGCGAACGACGCGAATTAGGTTGAGACAGTATGGATTATGGGTTGCGAGCAGAGAGCACACTGGCAAGTCCCGAAATGACAAAGCGTGATGCCGTTTAATTAGCGGGGGCAGAAGGCGGGACGCAGTAAGAGAGATACATCGGCAGCGGCGCAAGTGACCAGCAATTCTCATGTCACGTATGGAGCCACCGTGCGCTGGTTACGGTGGATTTGGGACTCTTGTGGTCCCAAAATTTTTACAGAAGTCCTTTTTTTTCTTGTCCCCAATTCTCCCTCTGCCACTTCAAATTTCACTTGCCACTCACCCACCACAGCGCTAGCCTCGTAGTCTGTTCGGGTCTTGTCGCGTACCCGGAGAATCCGGAAATTGGGCCAGGGGAAACATGGGATGACATGCTGATTCCGCCTTTGCCCGCGTTTTGCAGTGAGAAAGAAAAGCTTCGAAAGAAAAGCTTCAATCAAATGCTAGCACATTACGGAGGAAGTGCGACGTAATTGTGCGAAGGTTGCAGCACAGCGTTGCGCCATCGCAGCCCTCAGCGATAAAGCTGTATGTTGGAATTCGCTGTGTGTACTGAAGACGCTGGAATACGTTTATGCTAGGTTTGCTGTAGATACACTGTATGTAGGTGGCACACAGTTCATGCAGACCGCTTCAACTCCTCGGCATTTGGCCCCGAGGATTCAGGCACGGCTGCCAGCCTTGCACACCGCCCTACGAAAACGAGATACGATGGTCGGATGGGCCGGAGCGAGCCCTGTGAGAGTGGGAATCACACGACAGCCGCATTCGTCTATGCAGCACCCGCTACGATTCTCGCACAGGCCCAACGTTAAAGGATGTCCCGAAGGGGATGCCGGCAGCTTTCGCGATGCGACGGAAAGCCAGCTGCATTCGACGTCATTTGTGTAAAGAAAATGAGGAATCCATACTTCAGACCGTTCTTTGGATGTTAGTGCCGAGACCAAAGGCAGCTGCAGTCCTCGACACGTCCGCCACGGAGATGATACGCCGGCTAGCTGTCCGGTACATACGGCAGCAGCCGACAATTGCGTCTCAGACGATTGATTGGGAGTCTATGGTGTCGTTCGCAAGTGAGAGTACATCTCATCACCGTCTTCGATGTGAATCATCTGCGGGAGACACACCGAGTCACTTGGTGTTTAATATCTTGTGCCAGTTCTGACACAATCCGTCGACCTGGAATGCTCAAGCACGCACGTTTCTCCATGACGTCTGCCCGTCCCCATGTTTACATGCATGGCTTTCATACACCTTTCGCATTCCTCGACTATTCTGTGTGAGACTACAGACTCACTTTTGTCACGAGCCAGGTCACATGACTATATTTGCTAACCGTGACTTCGGACGGACCACTCCGCTGAAGTGGTGCGCAATTCGCTCCGTGGGCCAGCCTTTCCCCATACCAAAAGGCAAGCCTCGGCTTAGAACCCCAGCTGTAAGCCGAGTACCTTCCCTTCGCGGAATATTGAGTCGTGACTTGGTTCCTGGCCTTTCCGTCGTGCCTTCCCCACAATCTGCAAGGGCAGCACCATAGGAAGCAGCTACGAAGCCGAACTATCTTCCCGTCGGCTGTATAATATTTCAGTTCCTGTCACAGTTCTCAAAAGCGCCAGGCTGCAGCTCCGGCGCTGCCAATTTGCAAACTTGCACACATCACCACACGCAGCACACGGGCACCCGTACACACAATTCCAACTTGCACGAGGAAGCACAGCTCACGCATACACACACGCTCAGCGAGCATGGCTGGCCCCTCTGCCACAGCCTCGCCGGCTCCTGAGGAGCTCTGGCGGCACCCGAACCCTCAACAAACACCCATGTTCCAGTTCCTGGAGACTGTCAACAAGAAGCATGGGCTCAAGCTGACCAACTACCCTGACCTGCACCGCTGGTCCGTTGACAGCCTCGCCGACTTCTGGGCGGCCGTCTGGGACTATGTTGGAATCACGGCCTCGAAACCATACGACACGGTCCTGCCGACTACGACCATGTACCCACGGCCCGACTTCTTCCAGGGTGCCCGCCTCAACTTTGCCGAGAACATGCTGTTCCCTGCCGGTGTCGAAGTGGACCCGTCTGCCACCGCTCTGATCACAATGACCGAAGCTTGGGACGCCCTGGGCTCGGAGGAGATGACATGGGCCACGCTGCGCGACCGAGTCCGCCGATGTGCTGCCCAATTGCGTTCACCGGCCATCGGCGTGCACGACGGTGATGTCGTGGCAGGGTTCATTGGTAACCATGCCGATGCTATTGTCACCATGCTCGCGGCCGCTTCCATTGGTGCTGTCTGGACGTCCATCAGCCCCGACAACGGCGTGAGCGCTGTGCTGGACCGTCTTGTGCGCGTCAAGCCCAAGGTTCTTTTTTCGGACCACGTTTCCATGTACAACGGGAAGTTGTGGCCCAGCACAGACAAAACGCTGCAGATTGTCGACGCGCTGAGCGACGGTGGACATCTAAAGGCCGTGATTATTGTTGACTCCGTCAAGTACCCCGACCACCAACCGACAGAGGCCAGCCTTGGCCTCGAAACTCTGCGGAGCAAGGTCGCTGTAGCGGAGGCGTACGGCACCTTCCTGGCGAGCGCGCCAGATGAGCCGCTGCGCTTTGAGCCGCTGCCACCCTCGCACCCCCTGTACATCCTCTACTCTAGTGGCACGACCGGCCTGCCGAAGGCCATCATCCACACAGCGCTGGGTACACTCATCCAGCACAAGAAAGAGCTTGCCCTGCACTGTTCCATAGGCCCCAAGTCGCGCATGCTCTACTACACGACCACATCCTGGATGATGTGGCACTGGAGCGTTGCGGCGCTGTCGGTCGGGGCATCGTTGGTGCTGTACATGGGCTCGCCTTTCCGGCCACAAGGTGAACTGTCGTTACCCAAGGTGCTGTCCGACAAGCGCGTGACACACTTCGGTACCTCTGCAGCGTATCTCATTGCACTTGAGTCAAAGCAGGTCAAGATCTCCTCCGACCCCTCCATTGACCTGTCTGCCCTCGAGGCTATCTACTCGACCGCCTCGCCACTGCCGCCGTCGACCTTCGCATACGTGTACGAGACGTTCCCCAAGCGGGTCCACCTTGCCTCGATTACGGGTGGCACAGACATCATTTCGTTGTTCGGCGGACCATGCCCGCTCCTTCCAGTCACAGCGGGCGCGGTGCAGTGCGCCGGCCTCGGCATGGCCATTGCCGTCGCCGATTCGGCATCTGCCTTTGACGATCCTAAGCTCGTTCCGGCCGGCGAAGAGGGCGATCTCGTGTGCATCAAGCCCTTCCCTTGCGAGCCCCTGACCTTTTACGACGGCAACGAAAAGTACCGCGCCGCCTACTTTGAGCGCTTTCACGGCTGGTGGCACCACGGTGACTTTGTCCGCCTCGAAGGCGCCGACAACCAGTCGCTGGTCATGCTGGGCCGGTCTGACGGCGTCCTCAAACCTTCGGGCGTGCGTTTTGGCAGTGCCGAGATCTACAACATCATCACACGCTTCTTTGCCAGCGAGGTCGAGGACTCGCTGTGTGTCGGACGGCGACGGGCCCAGGATACGGACGAGACGGTGTGCCTGTTCGTTATCGCGACGCCAGGCGGTGTCACATTCGATGACCTCCGCAACCGCATCAAGACGACCATACGAAAAGAGCTGAGTCCCCGGCACGTGCCCGGGATCATTGAGGAGTGCAGTGGCATTCCGCGGACAAGCAATGGCAAGAAGTATGTCACCAGCGGCGTATGGCGTCCTCCCATGCATATATTTGTGTGAGTAATGCGCTAACCACTCCTAGGATCGAGGTTGCCGTTAAGCAGATTCTATCCGGCATGCAGGTCAAGACGAATGCCAGCGTTGCCAACCCCGAGACCCTCGACTGGTTCCGTGCTTGGGCTGACTCGCACAGGTAAATAACTTGGTTATATGACGTACATGGTCTAGAGGTTACTTAGATAAAAGCCAATGAAAATAAAAGCCAAGCTTGGAGCCGGTATGTTTTTGGCAAAATAACAACAGTCTGAAGAGGCAGAGATGCATCACTCGAAACGAGAACAAGCCTGCCTGTTCAAGTTTCAGTCTTCCATTGCTGCTCATAATTTCTCCCCGCGGGCCGCTCCACCCGCAAACGCACACATCGTTTGTCGCCATTAGCCCGCCGGCATGTTCAACCCGCCTGCCCATCCAAGACCTGTTCAAGACGGGACCGACAGCTTGCCCGACGAGGCTCACAGGTGGGCCGCTGATCTCAGCGTCCAGATGGAAAGATGGAAAGCTACGGCCGATGAGAAGTATCACGGGCTGTCAAAGAATCCAACAGAGCCAGCGGATCAGTACCGACATAGGCGCGGCGCAAAACCCAGGGCGCGGGTGCGCTTGGTTGATAGACAGCCGCGTATCAGACCTTCAGGAGAAAACGGTGAATCAGAGCTAAAGGAATGGAGACTGGGGTAAAAAAAAAAATAGGGAAGGAAGAGAAAGAAAAGCCGAATAAATCAATAAAATACAAAAACACACAAAGTACAAGCCGAAAGGCAAAATATCAAGACGAAAATAGAGGGTCACGTTAGCTGCGAAGAAGTCGAGGATCATGGACAATCAATGGGGCTCTATGGAGTAAAAACTTCCCTTCACTGGGGTCAGGCCCTGTAGATGACCATTCCCTCCTGCTTCTCCTGTCGCTCCTGATGGACCCCCCTGCCAATCCCCCATCCTGTCGCAACCCAGACAACAAATCTCCCCTCCAGCTGTTCAGGCTAGGCTCGAAATGGCAACCAGCCTTAAGGTACCCGGGGGCCCAGTCCACCACAGCGACATACATTTTACAGGGCCCAATACAAGCATTCTTCGGGCGACCAAACGTTTTGATTGTACATGTATACGGCGCGATGTTGCACTGAAGGATGCTGAGAAAGCAACAGCGTATATTTCGTATGCCGTAATACTTACTGTCCGTTCGTCTTCAGTAAGGCAACGGCCCTCCTCTACTTCGTACATTGGCGTCGTACCTTCCTTCAAGAGACAAAAATTACGTCGCGACTCGGGATGTGGGCCCTCTTCCAGCTATTTAGCAAGCTAATCACCGGAAAAAAAGAAAAGAATAGACGAAAAATAAAATAGGGGCCGTTGTCCCTCCCACCAACGAAAGACAAAAGCACCGCAAGTTGGCTCGTTGGGTATTTGGAGCAGATCGAAGTCGACGACAAACGAGACAACGGAAACAAACAAAGGGTGAGACGAGCAAAGAATAAAGTGTCCGTAGCCGTTGTGTTATGTCACGACAGCAATGCACGGGCCATTTAAGCCTGGGCCGCCCCTTCCCTGAGCATCAGTGTGGGCACATCTCTTCCGTCCTGTCTCAACGTCCCTCCTTCCGGGAAAGGGCGATCGCTGCTGCATTTGAGACATGTCGGCGAGTGCCTACAATCGTCCACCGTCGATGCTTGCACGGTATTTTACGGCACACCGAGCTAGAGGCATTGGTATTTTGTCTTCTGAGAAAGAAGTCACATCTCACAAACGTACTTTCAGCGATATATGAGGAGTAAAAACGACGTAAGCAATGCCAGGCCAGGCACTAACGTCGTTCCAGTCCCGGGGTCTCGGCGCGTTCTAAAGTGCAGAGCTTCCGACAAGAGATCACAAAAAAGAGCTAGGAACACAAAACCGTCACGGACAGCCTTTAATCAGGCAGCTTAATGAGCCTTTGCGGTCTTGGTTGTTGACAGAGTCCTGCGCCAGTTGCGCCTGTTGCTTCTCTGCCCTGTCTTGCCTGCATCTGGCTGGCTGTTTGTGTCCAGTCCCCCATCGCTGCGTGTGGCGAGCATCGGACACTGACGAGACTGAGTATTGCTCCGTACGGCGAATGCCTGTCCATATCCTTCTCTGGTCGATGGGTTCAGAATGTGAGACACCCACACCTCTCTGTTGGCCGTTGCTGCCAATGATTTGCCCACTTTGATCGTCTGTTTGTGTCTGTAGTTCCTTTTTTGTCTCCCGATCCTTCGATTTTTTGTCGGCTCCCGCGCAGGGGCCACATAGATGTCATGCATTTGATCTGTTCGCGTCTGTCCTGTGTCGTCTGCCTCGCCTGGTCAACTTTCGCCTTCTGCTTTTGTAATGCATCTCCCCTTTTCCCGCGTCTCGTCAACTGGGCCCCTTGCATTTGCTTCGCCTTAGCGTGCGTAAATTAAAATACCCGACGCGCCGTCTACTGCTACTCTAATCTGGTTTTTCTTACTGGCGGCGCGACTGAGCTTCCGGTCCAACAGCGACCGGTCTCGTTGCACAGAGATATTCCTGGCCCGTCTCCTATCTTGCCTGAAAAATTGGACAAGGACGCTCCCAAAATATAGCCACAGCCGTTTAACTGCATGCACCGCAAGCAAGGCCAGGCTCTACCTGGATCGCCTGGCTGCAAGTTGTGCAGAAATGATGTCCAGAGAGTTGACAGCGCCACAGAAACGACAAGCGACAGCGGCAGACCGGCAAGGCAGAGTGCTGCACGTTCATTGACCGGACTATTCAATCCTCTGTTCTCACGAAATGGACAGATACGACAGATACTCCGCATCATAAGGGTCTTGAGATAATACTGGGTTTCTTTCTGAATAGGAAATATCGCGGAGAACGGAGTAATAGAACAAACTGTTAACTCTAGCTCTCACCGTCAATAGTGCATCATTAGCTGCTCTTTTCGGCGCACAGGACGCAACGTGTATGCACAGTGTACTTACTGCGGACCGAGAAGCACAACACAGCTAGAAATGGCGCTCATTAGCCAGCTGCACTGTGCGAAAAGCACCAGTGGTTGCACAGAGCTCTCTCACAATCCATTCAGCAACCATTGTGCAAGTGCGTTCTCCAGGAAAGAGCTGTCCTCCACCGCCTTGGCAGCTCGCCTGAAAGACCCACCCGCTCTACCCTCCACGGCCCCTAAACCGCGTTGTCGGTGGCACTTTCCTCTCACCCCCCAATCTCCCCTTCGTTCCTTCCCTTTCTACGCTAAACCCCCCCTCCCTTTTGGGAGATCTCCTCGTTGCACCCGCAAACCTCCTGCACGTCGTAAAACACCACCTCGACCGCGCATTGCATTTCCTCCCCTTCCCCTTTTGCATTTGGGAGCCCCAAAGGATAATTAGCGTATGCTGAACGCCTACCAGAAGAGGGAAAGAACCCACATTGCTTGTCGAACCAGCACTGGCCTCCTTCCCAGTAAGCTTGTACGCGGCCGTTATTGTCGGTCGTTGTTTCCTCTCCATCCCGTCCGTTGCAGCCGCAGTTGCTGCTTTATTCTTCCGGTCAGAACAATTAGCATATTGTTTTCTTTTCTTTCCATCTTCACCCCTCGATCCACATCTCTCGACAATTCTCCTCTTACAGCGGTCACCAGCTCTCACGAACGTCGACCGCTCACCAAAAGCGAATGTCCTCTCTGTCTGTCCGCTTACTGCCATCGCCGTTTCGTCGCTTTGGTCAACCCTGGTCGCCAACTAACCTCCTTGTGGTGCTTGCCCTCCGTTGAATCGCCCTCTTATTTCCCTGCTCTCCACTTTTTTACCATCTGGTGGCTGCGACTGGGCGAAAACAGCCTTCGCTCGCTCGTCTTACCACTTTGGCACACCGTTTTCCTCTGCTAAAATCCCCCCTTTCAAAGGCCATCCAATTCCTCACCTCCTCCCCTTCCCGTAGCGCACAGTGGGCGTCGCCCTTTATTTTCTCTGTTGTTCCTGTTCGCCCATTCCAATCCACCCCCTTTCGTCTCTTGCCTGCCTTTTCGCAACGAATCAACGGCAGCTCTCCTGAACGAACCACGAAAGAGCAAAGAAACGAGAAGCCTGCGCTTCGAACAGCCAAGAGATCCGAATCCTTTGGAGGCTCTCTTTTTTTTTGTTCTATTTCGCATGATATTCTCGCCAACCTGATTCATCAAATCGTCGGCTCCCAATTGACCGCACCCCGTCAGCTCTGCTTCACCTGACGACCAGCGATCTTCGCCTTTTTCTACCTCGTCGCGCCCACCACTTTACCGACATTGACACTCTCTTCCCAACCATCATCAAACAGCCAACAATGGACTCGCAACGGCAAAGCGACGTGTCGCCGGAGGCGATGCAGGCACGGATCCAGCAAGCACGCCGTGAGGCCGAGACGCTGAAAGACCGCATCAAGAGAAAGAAGGATGAGCTCGCCGATACAACACGTTAGTCATATCCTCAACCTGGTTCTAGTGTCCAATGCTCTCTTCTCGCGTACCTTTTACATGGCGTTTTGGGCCCTCGTGATGGGAAGCTTTGCGTGATGGCCCTGGTCGTGTTCCCTCCCCCTTTGCTAACCTTGCTACCGTCTAGTTCGCGCTGTTGCTCAGCAGGCGCACGAGCCGATCTCGCGGAACCAGATGATGAAGCCGAAGCGCACTCTCAAGGGCCATCTGGCCAAGATTTATGCCATGCACTGGTCCACCGACCGGAGACACCTCGTGTCCGCCTCGCAGGACGGCAAGCTGATCATCTGGGACGCCTACACAACCAACAAAGTCCACGCCATTCCCCTGCGCTCGTCGTGGGTCATGACCTGCGCGTATGCTCCGAGTGGCAACTACGTTGCCTGCGGTGGTCTCGACAACATCTGCTCCATCTACAACCTCAACCAGAACCGTGACGGTCCCACTCGTGTTGCTCGCGAACTGTCTGGCCACGCCGGCTACCTCTCGTGCTGTCGCTTCATCAACGACCGCAGCATCCTGACCTCGTCCGGCGACATGACCTGCATGAAGTGGGACATTGAGACCGGCACGCGTGTGGTCGAGTTTGCCGATCACCTGGGCGACGTCATGAGCATCAGCTTGAACCCGACCAACCAGAACACCTTCATCTCTGGTGCGTGCGACGCTTTCGCCAAGCTGTGGGATATCCGCGCCGGCAAGGCCGTCCAGACATTCGCCGGCCACGAGTCCGACATCAACGCCATCCAGTTCTTCCCTGACGGCCACTCGTTTGTGACTGGCTCCGACGACGCCACTTGCCGTCTGTTCGATATCCGTGCCGATCGCGAGCTCAACGTCTACGGTGTATGTCCTTTTGTCGTTTTGCCTACTTCTTCCACTTTCTGGTGTCATATACGGGGTGTTCGCTTGCGGCCCGTATTTGTGCTCTTGATGAACGGTATACAGATGCTAACCGATATGTCGTGTTCAGTCCGAGTCCATTCTTTGCGGTATCACGTCGGTCGCCACCTCAGTGTCTGGCCGTTTACTGTTCGCGGGCTACGACGATTTCGAGTGCAAGGTAAGACACGTCCTTCTCCAACTGTGCTACATACCGCATTGGTGGCATTGTCTCTGTTGTCTTCTCATTTGTCTTTTCAGTGCTAACAGTTCCGTCAGGTCTGGGATGTCACGCGCGGCGAGAAGGTCGGCTCTCTTGTCGGCCACGAGAACCGTGTAAGCTGCCTGG